TCACTGAGTCCTGCCTCCTGTGGCCCCACAGCTGAAGCAGAGCTTCCCCCAATCTCTCCCTTTCCCTCTTCATACCCTGAGAGAGGGAGGGTCCACTCATGCAAATGAGGCCCCCTTCCCCCAGCTTTCTGATTCCTTAGTGGCCCTGGGTCAAGTCCCTCTGCCTGAGCAAGTCATGGAGGGGGCTGGGCAGGGTTGTGGCTTTGTGTGACATGGGATGTGGGGAGGTCACAGCTGTGAGCACTGAGCAGAGGGCTCAGTTATAATCTGAGTGACAGTAATAAGCAAGTGACAGGTGGTTGGTCCAGCTCTGATCACCCTCAGACACTAGGGAAGCCTCAGAGCTCTGCTTCCTGAGGTCTAACTGTTGCAATTCCCACCCTCCTCTCCCCAGGTGTCTCCTTATGTATATCCAGGTAACATTGTAGGTGATTTGTTTTCAGCAATTTTGTTGAAGATTTCGGGTTGTCTACCCCTGCCTGAATGTCAGCCTTGGCAATGGCTCCATGAGGGGTAGAAGAAGTAATACGAGGCAAGCTTGTAGTCAGAGCTGAGTGCTCATGTGGCTTCTTGGGTCCCAGGTGCAGGACAGTCACACTTCAGTGAGGACACTGCCTACCAAGTGTGCAAGGGCCAGCAGCCTGTTTTCCTGTTTGTTCTGGCTCAGAAGCCTGTACTCACAGGACCAGTACCACAGTGCCCCCTGCTGGTCTCAGACACGTTCTACAGCCCCTTTGAGACCACCCAGCTCTCCTGGAATGATATGCTGACTTCTGCAGTTGGAGTCCACTAATGTCACTAGTCAGGGCAGTAGAATGAGGAGGTGCCTGTGTAGTGCTTGGGGCTGAGACTTCTTTTTTCAGGTCACTTGTGACATCCAGACAGCTAAATGCACTGTATGTCACACAGAGATTATGTTATCAGATATCTCAGGGTTACCTGACATGTGAGTTTGCTTCTCCAGGTGCATGGGGTCATTACCAGTCTACCATCACCTTGAACAATGTAAAAGGCTTAAAATTCTCTGAGTACCCAGGTCATTCAAGGCTCATACAAATTCTACACGGGCTCCTTTTAGTGTTTGTCTGTTGTTGATGTTAGATTCCCCTGTTACATTCCCTCAGCCCACACTGCACAGGCCTTTGGAACCTGTCTTTGCCATGGGGAGAGAATGCTGTCAGGGAAAATGCACGATCCTGCTTACTTCTCTGGGTGCTCATTTTCCCTTGAGTGTTAACTTGGCAATTCTTACTTTTTTGACTCGCTGATATAATTAATATATGTTTAGTTTAGTTTTGTCATTATTCAGTATGAGGATTGATTTTAAAAGACCATCACTATAAATGGATTCCTCCTCCCTTTTTAGGAGTCTTCCTCCACTCCTCTACTGAAAACCCTCATGGCTTTTGTCCTGTACATGCTGTGGGTCCTAATGAAAATTTTGTGTTAATTGTTTCATGGAATCAATGGGGTTGGAGGGGGTCTAAGATCCAGGTCCAAAAGAACAGACATTTATGCAACATCTTCCACACCACAGATCCAGCGTGCGATGAGCAGTAGACATTGTAGGACTGGACTGGGGGAAGTCAGCATGTGATGGGACCTCATTGAAAGTGTAGATGATTTAGGTAGTTTTGCTTGACACCCTCACAATGTTATATCATCCAAACCATGAATAGGGCTGTCCTTTCACTTAAATCTGCTTTCATTTTTTAAGCAATGTTTTGTAGTTTTCAATCTACAAACACTTTGCCTACTTGTTTAAGTTTATTCCTAAGTATTGTATTATTTTTGATGCTGTGACCCATAAATTGTTTTCTTAATATCCTTTTAGGCTTCTGTGTTGCTAGTGTGCAGAAAGCCAAATGATTTTCGTAGGCTATTACTACCCTTAACTCCTGAAGGAGATACTAGACAGACCC